AAATTATTTGGATGAAAAGTTGTGTGTTTTTGAAAATGATGATTTCCAAAAGTCACATTGTTTTATTGTAGAGACATGTCTCTTTTGACATGTATTTCCAGCAATACATGTCTTCTTAGACATGCATTTTCATTAAGTTATGTCTTTTGTTTCACAACTTTAGAACCACTATATATTGACCCTATATGATTGGAATTAATTAATTCAATTCATAAATTGCATGTCAAGTTGATGCATATTCATTTGTTCATTTACTTTGAATAGAATTTCATAAAAGAGAGTTCAAAACATTAATAAGGTTCATTGGTTTACTTAATTTGGAGTGCTCCTATTGTGGGACATGTTTGTTGTATCTTTGGAGACGAAAGTCAAAAAATCGTTAACACCCTTGTTGGACATAATCGTGTTAATAACAAAGAGTTCAACTCTTATCTTTACGAAATTCATAATCATATATTTCTCATTTCTACTTCTCGTATTCGGTTTTGGTAAGTCAAAATTCTATTTAATTTCATGAAAATTGTTAGAATTTTGTATAGAAATTTGGTTTTAACTAATTTTAAATGACTATTTAAGTGTAAATCATTATTTGGTGAATGAGAAATTAAACCAAATTCAAGTAATTTAATAAGTACATTAAATTGTTGGAAATTACATAGAATAATATGGAATATTCTAAAATTATTTGGTTTAAAAGTTTCTTTTTTTTTTTAAATGATAATTTTCAAAAGTCACATTCTTCTGCCGTAGAGATGTATTTTTTAACAAGACATGTCTTTTTAGGCATGCATTTCCATCAAGTTGTGTCTTTTGATTCACAACTTTTGGATCAATATATATTGACCCCAATGTGATTGGAATTAATTCATTCAATTCATAAATTGTATATCATGTTGTTAAATGTTCATTGTTAAATACTCATTTGTTCAGAGTTCAAAACATTAATAAGGTTCGTTGGTCTATATAATTTGGAGTACTCCTATTATGAGACGTGGTTGTTGTATCTAGAGAGACGAATGTCAAAAAATCATTAGCACCTATGTGGATATAATGATCTTAAGGACAAATAGTTCAACTCTTGTCTTGATCAAATTCATATTCATACATTTTTCATTTCTACTTCTCGTATTTGATTTCGGCAAGTCGAAATTCTATTCAATTTCATGCACGTGAAATGTATGTTATTAGACTATAATTTTTATACACGTCAATTTTTTCCTAACAATATTAAAAGCAAAAAAATTTTGTGAAAATATTTTTTAATAAAATTGTTTTTAACTTATGAAGTGAATTTTGTTTACTAAAAATATTTTCTTGTATGAAATCTTTTCTCACTCATAAGGAAATTTTTATTTATAAGTATTTTGTTTACAAATAAGTGAATAGTGGAGGATAAGTATATCGGATTAATTTTATCTTGATATTAATTGCACCAAGCATCGAAAAATATTGTATATAATTATTTTATTCTCTATTGGGTTTAATACGATGCGCCAAACATGCCCCTAAATCAATAATAAAAAAGAAACTCACATTTATATGAAGTTGAGGTTTGTTTAAATTATTTCTTTTTCTTTTCTACATTAGAAACATTCAATCGTCGTTCGCATCATAAGTTTCAAGAAGAAATAAAAGGTAATCATGAAAGTCAGCCTAGCCTAGGCTAGCCTAGCAGAGAGAGCGTTG